AATCACAACCTCAAACAAATCAAAACCCATCACATTGTCAGATTCAGGCAAGAAAAAGGAAAATCAAGCAGTAATCATACCATGGTACTTGGAGGAAACAAGAACAGCAAGCAAAAGAGAACAGAAACCAAAGCAATTGAGCAAACAGAGCTTCTTCATCATCATTACCACAAACAATAACTGTACAAAGAAAAGGAAGAAAAAGGGGGTTTGCTTTACAGTGGAAGGGGAAAGAAATGTGGCAGTGGGGAAGAAAAGAAAACCCTAGTCGGGAAAAAAGGGTGCGATGGGAGTAAAAATTGAGCAGGAAAAAGAAGTGAAGGGATTTATTGATCAAAATTGTTGCAGAGATTGTGGGACACGTCGAGTAAATTTTTTTATTAAATTAGCTCCACTGTTAACTGTTAACATGGTATCATGGTTCGGGTTGGGTTTGACTGGCGCCAAACGGGCGTGAGTGTCGTGTCCTTTTGGCCTGACCTCGGTACCATTTGGGTCCAAAACAAGAGCGTGAGTGTCTTAGACTCGCCTCAGTAACACTTTGTCAAATCTATTCGTACGAAATTTTTAATATATTTTATATATTTTTGTTTGGCTCGGGTCAATTCGAAAATTTTATCCATGAACCCAACCCTCCTATCCGAAATGGTACTCCAACCCAACCCAACCCTTATAGTACTTGTTGAGTTGGTCCGGGTTGTCGGGTAGAATGTACACCCTTACTATTAATATATTTTCGTTAAGTTTATTGAAACATTCTAGACGCACTATCATCATAACATACAACACATCAGCTCGAAACCCATCTTCCACGGGTACGGTTCTCCGAACGCCGGTTCTGCAGCACTTACGGAGCTCACTTACCGCCGTTTAGCTCACAACCTTTATCCATGGCGTCAATGTTCTTGACTGTGAAGCCCTTTGTAAACAAAATAGATTCACGCACTTTCTTGAATCAGAGAATACAGAGTAATTCCTTCTCTTCTTCCCTTATCTCTACCTCAATCTCAGTTTCTTCTTTCTTTCATCGTTGATTTTTGTTCGCATTGGTTCTGGGTAGGCACTCGTAGAACTTCCCTTCAAGTCCGCGCTGTATCCAAGAAATTGGAACCCGCCAAGGTCTTTAACTCTTCCCCCATTTTCAGGGGTTTCTATTGAGACTTGAATTGAAACCTTGCAGGTTTTGGCTTCGATTTTTCGATTAGTGGTCTGTTTTGAGCTAATGGGGTTTATGTTTAATGGCTTTGCGTTTTTAATTGTGGCTCTGTAGGTTGTTCCACAAGGGGATAGAGTCCTCATTCGGCTCGAGGAGCTTCCTGAGGTATGAACTTTGCCATGTTCTTCAATCATTTTTTGCTTTCGTGTTCTTATGTGATATCTTGTTCAAGTTCTTGAAAGGATGAAATGAAATAGGACTTTGTAGCTTCCATTATATCCTTCATGTCATAACTTAAACAACCATGGTAGTGGCATTAATTTGGAAATGCATTGTTTAGTGAGGGCTACCCGATCAGGGAATCCTAAATAAGCTCGAGTCAGCGTGTTAGTGGTCATTGAGGAATACTTGGGCTTAGAAGGTGGTTCCCCTTTCTCACGTAAAAGCGATTAGAATTCCAACATGCTGCTTGCTGGTCACCTTCTTAGAAGGTGGTTCCCCTTTCTCGAGTCAGCGTTTTATTGGGAAGGATTGAACTATGGGAATGAATCTATAGGGCTATCACCTTCTTTACCCAGTCTTCCAACCTTTTCACAATTACAGTTCACTGTACCCTTTACCTCGTAAACTCGATAAAGCTGCTTGCTGGTCTTTCCGACATCCAATGTGCAACAAATCGAATGAAACCTGACAAATTTGCTTTTGTTTTTCTTCAAACAGAGTAAAAGGTCTTTGGGGAATGTTTTCAAATCTTGTAGGTTCAACTCAGAAGCTTGCATAAGCTGGTTACACTCATGAACACTTGAACTTTTGAACTTTAAATAGCTGAGTGACTTAATTTTCAAGTCTCGTTATAATGAACTTTCACAGTGATTGGTGCCATAGCTTAATTTTGATATTTAGTTCCCTTCGTTGGCATTTCAAATTGCATAAGGAACTTAGAATCTAGATAGTTCTGTGTTGACAACATTGTATTCTTATAACAGCCCAAGCCCACCGCTAACAGATTTTGTCCTCTTTAGGCTTTCTCTTTCGAGCTTCCCCTCAAAGTTTTAAAATGCATCTTTCAGAGTTATGCAACATCTAGATACTTTTCTTTCCGTTGCTCCTACCGATTGAATGGTCTGGTGAAGTGTTCGGATTGTAGCAACGTAGGTGGTTCGCTGCCCGCGACGTCACAAGAAGTCCACTGAACCTTATCATTTAGGGGAGAAGTCGTAACAAGGTTTCTATAGGTAAACCTGCGGAAGGATCATTGTCAATGTCTAAACATTAAACGACTCGTGTACGCGTTTTAAAACCTTGAGGGAAAGCCCAAAAGGAAAAATTTAAAGAGGACAATATCTGCTCGCGGGTGGGCTTGAGCGGTTAAAAATGGTATTAGAGCCAAATATCGGGGGTGTGCTAAGGAGGATGCTGGCCCCCAAGAGGGTGGATTGTGAGATCCCACATCGGTTGGAGAGAAAAATGAAACATTCCTTATAAGGGTATAGTAGACATATTTTAAAAACTTTGAGGGAAAGCTCAAAGAGAACAATATCTACTAGCAGTTGGCTTGGGGCGTTACAATCATGTTCTATTAGAATCTTTCTTGACTGAATGAATTGACCAAGAGCACGAGTTCGGGAGTCTACTTTCCTAATGAGTAATGATAATGTTCCTTCTCAACTGAGTTCGTTAAAGAGTTTAATCATTTCATGTCACAGAAATCAGCAGGAGGAGTTCTATTGCCCAAGTCAGCCGTTAAATTCGAGCGTTATCTTTTGGGAGAGGTAAGCGAAACTCCTTCCTTTTTCGATAAGATGGGAAATGGATTGAAGCTTCTTGCTTCTCTTCGTGTTTCTTTACGCTCTTTCTACTACTGAATTTGCATCCTTTTTCAGATTCTCTCTACAGGTGCTGATGCTTGGGCAAGGAAAGAAGGTTTGGATTCAACTTTCTGTTGATTTTCTAATGATATTGTTGAAATGCTGCAACATTTTGCCTACGGTTCTCAATTTTTCTCGAAAAAAAATGTTTGCTTCAACCTCTTCTTTTTATTTTTTTTGTGGTACAGGTTCTTTTCTCAGACATAAGTGCTTATGAGGTAAGCCACATTAATTTGAAGATTACTTGTTCATTTCAGTAGTTGTACTTCAGAATTTTCATAGTAGTTCATGATTTTCCTTTTGAAACTAGTAGTTACCGTAGAATGTTAGGTTTAGTGTAAGATCCCACATCTATTGGAGAGTGGAACGAATTATTCTTTATATAGGGTGTGGAAACCTCTCTTTTGTAGATGTGTTTTAAAATCGTGAGGCTGACGTCGATATGTAATAGACTACAAACAATATCTGCTAGTGATGGACTTGGGCTGTTACAAATGGTATCAAAGTTGGGCATCGACCGATGTCCAGTGAGGATGCAAGGCCCCTTAAAGGGAGTGGATTATGAGATCTCACGTTGGAGAGGGGAACGAAACATTCCTTATAAGAGTGTGAAAACTTTTTCCTAGTAGACGTGTTGTAAAATTGTGAGACTGACAGTGAAACGTAACAAGCCAGGGCGAAGGCGGATGGGCTGTAAATAGAGAACGCTTATATTAGGCTCACAACCCAAATACACACCCACCTGATCGGCAGTGACCACATCGAACAATATTTCCAATATTAGTTAAGTTAGGACAGCATTTTGTCTTGCATATGGCTGCTTTTTTGTCTGGATCTGAACAGTTGCATGAACAATTTCACAGGTGGACTTGGGCACAGATGCAAAGCATGTCTTCTGCAAAGCAAGTGATTTACTGGCTGTTGTTGAGTAAGTCTCAGAAAGCAAGTGATTTTCATCTGGTTTGTTTCCTGGCTATCAATGTAGTTGAATATCACATCTTGAAGCCTCTGATTCAGTTCTTTTGATATCTATTTCACTCTGTTCTGCCATTTCTGCTATGCCCTCTTTCTCAACATTTCTTAGACCATTGAAAGGTGTTGGAAGGTAAATGTTTTATTAGTTCAAACTAAACTAGAATTAATAGTTTAATCAATTCATTAATGCATATATCATCTGTAACAATTTAAGTCTTCTGTTAGCCGATATTGTTTTTTTTAGCCTTTTCTTTTGTGGTTTCCCTTATGGTTTTTATAAAATACGTCTACTAAAGAGAGGTTTCTTCACTCTTACAAAGAATTCTTATTTCTTCTCTCCAATCAACGTGGGATTGCACAATCCACTTCCCTTAGGAGGACGCTGTCACTCGTTCCTCTCACCAATGGATTGTGAGATTCCACATTGATTGGTGAAAGAAACGAGGGGGTGGATTGTGAGATCCAACGGCAATTGGAGAGGGAATGAAACACGAAACATTCTTCATAAGGGTGTGAAAACTTCTACTTAGTAGACCAATTTTAAAAATCTTCAAGGAAAGCTCGATAGTGAAAGTTCTAAAGAGGACAATACTTTGCTAGTAGTGGGCTTGTGCTCTTACATCACATCAACACTAAGAGATCGGTTGAACTTAAATAAAATTTAGTCTGAAAAAATAAATATCAATTATATGAATCATAATAAATTAAATATATACTTCAAAATTATTATTGATTTATTATAATTATGATAATTTTTAAAATTTAGATTGATTAATTAATTGATTTTTTTTTTTTTAGTTTATATAAATAAATAATAGGTTTTTAGTTTTCATAATTACTTCTAATAAAAAATACATTGTAATTTCCACCCATGAACAAATAATTTAATCATGTAATATTTTTTAAAAAGAAAATCCTATTTTCTTTATTATTAACGTAATATTATTTATTTATTATTATTTTTTTAAAAAGTCTCCAACATTGTAATTTCCATCTATAAAAACACCTTTAATAGAGCAAACAAAACAAAGAAACAATCATCAATGGCCATATCTCCTTTCTCTCTTTTCATACTCTCCATCTTTTTCTTCTCCAATTTTCTCATCACACAATCCTTCTCCAACATCGACACGCCTCTAATCCACAAAACTTGCAACAAAATCGCTCACCAAGATCCAAACGTCTCCTTTAACTTTTGCTTAACATCTCTACAATTTGCCACAAAGCATAGCTATTATGTTGATCTTCGTCGTCTCGGTCTCCTCTCCATGGGCTTGGTTTGCAGCAATGTAACCAACACGTACCACTTCATCACAGAGTTAATAAGAAACAAGAAGCTTGATTCATCTGTTAAGTTATGTTTAGCTGATTGCTTGGAGCTTTATTCGGATGCAATCTCGACAGTGAAATTGGCCATGAGAAATTACAGGCTGAAGCGATATAAGAATGATAACGTTGCGATCAGTGCAGTAATGAATGCGGCAGAAACATGTGAGAATGGGTTCAAGGAGAAGAAAGTAAATTCACCGTTGAAGAAGAGAGATGAAGATGTTTTTGAATTGGGAGCCATTGTTCTTGCTATTATGAGTATGCTTCATTGAGTGATTGTTTTTATTGTAATAAAAAGTTTAATTTTATGTTTTTTTTTTATTTATTTTAATTTTCTCTTAAAATTTCTTTTCTCCTTTTAATTTACAACTCCTTTAACCATTTTTTTACCAAGTAATTTCACGGTCTCATTGCACAAAAATGCTACATATATCGAAGACGACTTTTTATTATAACGCCCATGTTTAGGGTTTAGGGTTTAGGGTTTAGGACTCTAAACCCTAAACTCATGTTCAGGATTCAGACATGACATCTGATGGTTTTGATATTTCCCTACATCCTCTGCAACAGGGTCATGTTACGAGAAAAGTACATATTGTCGGTATAGATAGTGACTCTCAATTTTTTTGAGTCTTTCTTAGTCTTCTTATTCTCAAAATTGCTCTCGTTGAAATGTGGTCTCGGCTCATTCATGTATCCCTCATTTATTCGAGTGTCACAAAGACGATATTGAATCTTCTCGAGAAAAAAAGTATAATATTAAACAAAAATTTGGATCGTTGATCTGAAATATTAATTTTAGAAATATTCGATTTATGAAAATTGTAATGGTATTTAATCAATTGTTAGATTTTCTAGAAATAAACAACAAAATAATAATAATAATAAAATAAGTCATGGATTTTGGGTTAAATGGGCTTGTAAACTCTTCTCAAACATGGGTTGGGCTTAGTTGGGCTTAGAATGGAGATCGTAAGCCCAGCCCATAAATCAAACCACCCTAAAAAAAAAAAATTAAATTATTATTTAGATAAAACTAAACTATAACCCACTAAATATGTTTAGAGCTCATTTGGATGAAATTTATGAACAATAAAATTGATTAGCAAAGCTAATTAGCTAAAATACTAATAATTTAATGATAATTAATGTCTACTAAAATTTTAATATTATTGCAAATAAGCCCTTATTATTTCAAAATATACAAATTATCCTCTCGAAAATAGTATTTTTAAATATTTTATTTATTTATTTAATAATAATTATTATTATTATTGGAGATAGGGCTAATCAAATAACTGGTGATTTTTTTTTTTTAATTTTTTTTTACCATTTTCCTTAAAAGGAAAAATCCTATTGGGTTAATTTGTAGCCATATTAAAGCAATATTCAGTTGTTTGTTTAATAAAAAAGAAAATTTTATATTTTTGTTTATTTGGAGTGTTGAGTTAAAAATTTATAAATACAAAATTGACAAGATACCCTTATTAAATGACAAAATTGATTTTTGTATATAATATTATTTGATCATCATTAATTTTTTTTATTCATTTTTAAAAATAAAAATTTATTCGAAAGAATCTTTAACATTGTATACATGTTTTTTTTACTACATTTTTTAAAAATAACATACATGACTTTATATATAGTTTCAAAATCAAAACTCTTCACTTTTCACGAGGTATTTTAAGAGTTTTAACTTTTATATTTTAAAATTATAATTAACGATCATGTAAATGTAATATTAAAGTAAATAAAAACCTTAAAATACATTAAATAAACACAGAAATTCTAGATTATCGTTCACCCAATAATTATAACAATACGAGAATAAATGAAATTTATCTTTCTTAAAGTTCTTACATGATTGAGATATCTTGGTTCATATCATGGTCCGAGATTCAAAGCCTCAAAAAGTAGGCCGTGACATTTTTAGGTGGTACATAAGCTGCTTGCAAGATTGGTGACGAGGGGTGAACCAGAGCTGAGCGATATAAAACTATGAGACGTAAAATTTTAAATTATATATTTTAAACACGTGTAAAATCCTAACGTTTGTGGTATAAATGTTACAAAAATGATGTGAAAAAACCATTACAAAAACCGAATTTATTTTTTTACTCAACAATTATTTCCAAAAAGATATTTATTATATTATTATTTTTAACTTTTTAGTTGAAATAAATAGTATTATGTAGAGAAAAAAAAAAGAATTTTTTAATATAAAAAAAATTGAGTTTTCTTTTAAAAAAGAAATGACAAAGATAAGGAGAGAGAAAAATCATATAAAGCCAAAAACAATTAATAAATATTTATTCACCTACATTTTTCAAAAAAATTTATAATTATCTTTTTATTATTTCTCCATCAAAATTATTTTTTTTTTCAAAATATATATTAAATTAATTGTAAATCTTAATTAAATATTTTACGAACTAACCTTTGTAACCCAACTGTTAAGGATAGTTGACCGTTCATTATAAGGCAAATATTTAGATATTTGCCTTACTTTACGGGTTACCATATTTGCCCTTTTACTAAATGCAAATATATTGTATTCATTTATTATTCTTTCCTTTTATCGCTATTTCCTTATTATTTGTAATTTACCTTATTTCTGTATTCTGTAAATGATTATAAATAAGAGAACTCTCACTACCATTTGGGGTGGTGGATTAATCAAACATTCACACCAACCAACTCGTAGTTTAATTCATTATTCAATTAAAAAAATTTATAACTCGAACAATTGGCCTAAAAAATATTCCAACTAAGTACGGACCAATAAAAATATTTTAATATCTTTAAAATTTTAGCGGGACCCATTTATCAATTAAATACAAAAAAAAAAAAAAAAAATTGACGATTTTTATAAAATTAAATAAATATCTCAAATTGAAATAATGATTATTCCTACAAATTCCCACACCTATAAAACCATTCCACCAATAGCACAACAANAAAAAAAAAAAAATAAAAAAAAAAAAAAAAAAAAAAAAAAAAAAAGAAGGAAAAATCCTCATGTCCTCTCCGTCTCTCTCAATTCTTCCCTTCCTGTTCTTCCTCTTCTCCAATTTTCCCATCACTCAATCTTCCATTTCCAACACATCCTCCCTCATCTACAAGACTTGCAAGACCAGCTCCGATCAAGACCCCAACATCTCCTTCAATTTCTGCCTAACATCTCTCCAACACGGGGTGGCTGCCACCGCCAAGCATGGCCGCACCGCCCTTGATCTCCGCCGCCTCGGCCTCATCTCCCTTCGCTTGGTTCGCCGTAACGTGAGCAGCACACGCCACCATATCAAGAAGTTGCAAAGAAATAAGCACCTCAACACGTTGGTTAAATCCTGTTTGGCTGATTGTTTGGAGCTTTATTCTGATGCGATCCCAATTTTAAAGGATGCTCGAAGGGATTATAAGGATAGACGTTACTTCGAGACGAACTTGAAGATCAGCTCGGTTATGGATGATTGTTCGACTTGTGAAGATGGATTCGAGGAAGAAGGAGTGATTTCACCGTTGACTAATAGAAACTATAATGTCTTTGAATTATCAGCTATTGCACTCTCCATTATTAATATGCTTTCTTGAGGAAAATTGTAATAGAAGAAAAATAATTGGAATTTTTATTCAATAATGTAATAAATGGAGTAATTTTATATGGTAAGTGATTGAATACGTATGATGTTAGGGTGAGATTTTTTCATACTCATAATCCATCTCTTTGGAGGTCAGCATCCTTGTTGACACACCACTCGATGTCCAACTCTGATACCATTTGTAACAATTCAAGCTCACCGCTAGTAAATATTGTTCGCTTTGTTCCGTTAGGTATTGTTTTCAGTTTCACAGTTTTAAAATGCATCTATTAGTAAGAGATTTCCACACTCTTATAAAGAATATTTCGTTCTCCTTTACAACCGATGTGAGATCTCACAATATCAAGTTAGTTGAAACTTTGACTTTAATGAAAAAAACAAACAATATATTATCGTAGAGTTATATTTTAATTTATTTTAATTAACTTTAAAAGTTAAATGTATATTTTAAATTAGAATATTCTTTTAACACATCATTTCCAACTACGCTTCATTTCTTTCATTACTAAATATTGGTACAAATTAAAATTTTCCCTTCATTTAAAACACGTTTCTTTTTCACTAAGTTCCTTTTTTGAGGTCATTTTCGACTTTTTAGTGGTTAAAGATAATAAAATAAATAAATAAAAATTAAGGTTCGATTTTATAATTTTATAATGTTTTATTTTGAAAATTGCGATTGTTTCTTTTAATTATTCTTTACAATAAATTTCATTTTTCTTAAAAAATATTTGAATTTTTTTTCTTAATTTTCAAAAAAAGTAAAAAATAAAAAACCAAATAGCTATTAAATCTTTAATTTTAAGAACTTATGTTAAAATAACTTCCATAAGTTTAAATTTCAAAAATAAAAATTTTAATAATATTTAATAAACTAATATTAGTTCGTAACAAATTAGAAATCTTATTATTGAATTGATAATTTATATCATATCAAAATTTGTTATATGATAATTAATTAATTTCTATGGCTTAAACTATAATTTATATTTTAAAACAGCTAAAATTCTTCCCAATCACTCTTCAATATTTCCCAATCACTCCTTAATAAAATTAATTAATTTAAATTTAAATAAAATTAATAATATTATATTTTAATCAGTAAAATTATGCTTAAATTAGTCGGATAAGAGTTTAATTTCTACCTGTATAGAGATCAAATGAGACTAAATTATTGCAAAAGCTGAATTAATTAAGATGGTCTACAATTGGATCGACATATTTATTAAAAAAAATGATGGCAAAGTTGTTGGTAAACCAAATTAAGAATAATTAAGCGTATGATGGATGATAATTAAAAATTAATCCAAAAATACTTGATAAATGTGTGTGTTTTTTTTTTAATTTTTATCATTGTCGGTAGCATGAATTTTATGTTACATAAAATTCTCCAAATTCTTGTCTCTCCAAGAAGATATGATTGTGATATGTCTTTGTTTTGTACATTAAAGTCAGGCTGCCCCAAACTTCTTCTCTCTCTTTCTCACTCATAAAATTAAGAAATTGACTCCTAAACTACCAAAACCCATGGATGCAATTTCTCCGGGTTTAAAATCGTTCGGTCATAGATTCAAACTTATGAAATTTTATCGGTTCGTGTTATTATATTCTCATTTTATTGGTAAATTATAGACTACTATGCATGATCTCGTCTTAATGTTTGGGCGTGTGTGTTCTTTTTTCTTTCAATTTAGTTGCTTGTGTTTCAACGATTTTTAATTTAATCTATCAATCGTGGTAAACGTTAAAACTCGTTGATGGTAAACTTACGTTGCGTAATATTTGGTGAATTGACTTAAATTCATAGAAGAAAAAAGGGTCATGATCGAGAGGAGATGTAACAGCTCAAACCTACTGCTAACTGATATTGTATCTTTGGGCTTTCTCTCAAAGTTTTTAAAACTCTGGTTTCCACACTCTTGTATAGAATACTTCGTTTCCTTCTCTAACTGATATGAGGTTCCTTCTTAAACTGATGTGAGATTTCTAATTATAAGAAAGATTAAAAAACTAATAGGATTTAGCGAAAAAAATCAAATTAAATTAAATTATGTAGAAAAAAAATATAAAAATGAAAGAAATTAATTTTTTTTTTTTTTTTTTTTGTCGGATTTGTGGAAAAACAGGTCGTTAATCGGATGAAAAACGAATTCAAAAACAAAGAACACTACTCGAAGGCGGGATCTAGAAGGACACGTGGCAGCCAAGCAAAAATCAGAGAAAAATTCAATAAAGCGCGTTAGCATGGGATCGAACACGTGCTTAAAGAGTAGTGATCACCAACCAATGAGCGACACGTCATGCCAAGAAAGTTCGAGAGAATCTGCATCTGTTGGAGTTTGAAAGCCAGTCACTATGCAACGTGTGTAGGCACGCGTGGGTCCGCGGGTGGGTGACCCTCTCGCTTGTGTGTGAGACACCTGCCGGTGGGAATTTTCACCCATAGTTCAAATAATACTTGTAGAGATCGTTAAGACATGCAGGTTACAAACCAACGTAAACCAAATTTTAAAAAAATTAAGAAGGTTTAATGTTCGTAACTGATATTAATGATCATTGTGATTTGTAAATATTTGATATTTGAACTTTATATGATTTTAATTATTAAGGTAACATATATATGAATAAGTCGTATTTTTTAAATAATTTAAAAAATAATCCGACAAACTAACTCTTTCGTTCCTCTCTCTAATTGATATAGAATCTCACATAACCTGCTTACCTAACATAACTGATAAACATCGATGATTCGATCTTCATTTGAAGCTAAAAAAGAATCGTTATCAAATTGAGAAGATTTCACTTTACCCTTAATCAAAGTATATTGAAGTTGTTTGAAGAAAAAGCATTGCAACAAATTCTTCCACCCACCAAAACCATATAGTTTTCAATTCAAAAACATTATAAATCAATCCCAAAGTGATCAAAACAAATCAATCATCATAATCATGAACCCCAAATCCTCATCATTTCCATTCATGATCATCATCTCCATGATCATCTTCAACATCTCTACCACCATTGTTGTTGCTGATTTCGTCCAAAAAACTTGCAAGAAATGCGAAAAGAACAACCCAAACGTCAACTACGAGTTTTGCGTTTCATCCTTCCGTTCCCACCCGGGTAGCGACTCGGCCGATCTTCGCAAACTCGGAGCCATCTCGTTACATTTGATTGGAAACAACGTGAGCAGGTCGGTCGAGTACGTGGAAGATCTATTGCATAAAAAGGAAGTAGATCCATACAAAAGGGCTAGGTTAAATGATTGCTTGGAGGTGTATTGTGAGGCAGCTGTTAGTGTAGAAGAAGGGAAGAAGGCATACAAGGAAGGGCGGTATGATGATGTTAATATCAAAGTGAGCTCAGTGATGGATGCTGGTAGGGTTTGTGAAGATGGGTTTAGGGAAAAAGAAGGCGTCTCATCGCCATTGACGAGGTGGAATAATGATACCTTTAAGTTGACTGCCATAGCTCTTTCAATTATCAATATGCTTTCTTAACATTTATACTAAAATATATGCTTTTTTCTTTTTTTTTTTTTAATTTTGGAATAAACTTGTTTATCAATATTTTTGTTTTTTATTTGTCTTTTTTTTTGTTTTTTTTTTAATGGTTAAATTATAAATTTAGTTCGTGAACTTTAAGTTTGTGTTTATTTGATTCTACGACTTAAAAAAATGTTTAATAGCTCTATGGACCTTTGTTCTTCTAGTTCGATTGGAGAAGGGAACTAAACATTTCTTATAAGGGTGTGGAAACATACTCTTAATTGACATGTTTTAAAATTGTGAGGCTGATGGTGATATGTAACGGGCCAAAAGAAACAATATTTATTAGCGATGAACTTAGACTGTTACAAATGGTATTAGAGTCAGGGTGGTGTGCCAGCGAAGGCGCTAGGCCCCAAGAGAGGTGGAATATGAGATTCAACTTCGATTGGAGAGGGGAACGAAGGGCAGTGTGCCGGCGAGAATGTTAGGCCCCAAGAGGGATGGACTGTGAGATTTAATATCAATGGGAGTTAGGAATGAAACATTTCTTATAAGCGTGTGGAAACCTTTCCCTAACTTACATATTTTAAAACTGTGAGACTGATGACAATACATAGCAAACTGGGCTGTTACAAATAATTTCTAATAAACCTCTAAATTTTTAATTTTGTATGTATCGCTCACTAATTTCTTCAAAATCTTTAAAAACCAACTTATTTATTAGGTTTGATATTGAATTTTATGCTTCTTAGGCTCTAATATTTCAATTTGGTGTTATAAAAAAAGTGGTAAAAAAGAAACATAATAAATCAATATATTTAATAAGTAACAATTAAAATATTATAATTATAGTCTTAAAATTAATTAATTTAATTTTTTTTTTAATATACCCAAAAATCATTATATATATTTATATTAAGCGGGGCATTGACAAAGTAGGGAATTTGGCGGTGACGAGAATATAATCTCATCTCCGACTCTTGATGACCTAGACATTCTCTTAGAGATAGTTACGTTATCTACTCCTCGATTCTAAGAGTGAAGACTATCTATACATATCAACACAAGTTTTTCCGACATATTTTATTCTCACTCACATGCATCATAAGAAAATTCCTACTCCAAGTAGCACGTTTAACCATGAAATTCCTATGATCAAATGATTGAAAAAAAAGTACACCTTGTTGGCTTGTGTAATTAATTTTTATTTTTTTAAAATTTTTCTTAGTCAGTATATTCTTAAAATGCTCTCAATCAGATGGGATCAGAATGTATCCTTTTTACTCAGAGTAGTTAATTATTTATAATCCGACTATTTAGGAATCAATGTTGTAGCTGCTGATGTACACGTGGCGCCTTTTAAGAGTTCCAAGTCAGCATAATTAATTAATTAACGATTAAATCCAAAATTTAAACTAAATTAAAGTATTCTCTTCAAAAGCAAAAAAGAAAAGAAACCGAAAGCCCTTTTTCCAATCTGCTTCTCTGTTTCCGAGGCAGAGCTTCTTCCCGTTTCAAGAGCATGACAGGTTTTTCTCTCTTTCAATTTTCCTTCTCAAGTAGTTGAATCAATGGTT